AATTAAGTCATAACGCAGAGTATGATTCTTCTGAGACGATAGTTGTGTGATTCTCAGAAGAAAATTTCAACCTTTTTCTTTGTGTTGAGAGCTTCTTATGTAGCAATTGAAATTAAGTTAATTGGCATATTTATAATATGCTTTAATTGATGAATTTGATACTGACCTGTTTACCCCAAGCAGTGCCATATTCATATTCACAACTAGAAACTTGGATTGCAGCCTCTAGAGACGTGGAAGGAGTAATAACATTACTACAACTAGAACATGGGTTGTCTTCCCAGGCTTGGGCTGCTAATTTAACAAATTCCTTCGAGCTTCCGAACTTCTGTTCCAGTTTCTTGTCTGACAATTTTGCTGCAAAAGATGTAAAATGATAACATGTCCGAGATTCTTAGACAGATGCCTATAAAAATTATTCCCTCTAATTCTTAATATAAAAACTTGTTTGACTTTTATTTTAGTTCTAAATATAAGATTCTAATTTATTTTGTCTCTCATATTTATCTTTTCTTTAAAGTAGTTCTTATAATAATAGTAGTTCTAGCCAATACACTTAATTAGTAAGAATATTTTAAAAAAGATAATACCTATTTGTTAGAAATAATTAACTTAATTAGTTTTTTTATTCTACTCAGATTAGTAAATTAGCTCGTATGTTAAAGATAAGATGTAGCAATTAATTAATCACGACTATCATGCATGTACTAGAGTTCAAATAATTAATGACCTTGATTTTGAAGCTGCGTGTTATCAGGGTAACGGCCGTAAATAACTTTTCTTCTGTGGAAGCAATTGGTTCCACAGTAAAAGGGTCCTTGAAGCCCTGCAAGTCCAACTAGTACGTACTGCATTTCACAAGGACAAGGAAGAAAATTAATACGCGTTGCATGGCTGTAAATTAACAGAGAATCGATGATGTCCTTTTGCTTTTGAAAAGTGAATATGAATTTAAACGCACCGAAGAAGCAGCGACCAACTGGTTTCCAAAGGGATCATCTTTTAGGCCATCGTAAAATTGCTGAAAGCACTGAACAAATGCGACTTCTTCGTGGCCCTTGGGATCCAGAAATATGCACATGGCATGCTGAGCAATCTTTGGATTGCTCACCATCATGTCACAGTCTATGTTTAACATGTAGGGAGCGTTGCTCATCAACCCTGACACTCTGGTCTACACATGATAATCATCATATCACACTTTTTTATAGCAGGAGAAATGAAAATTTGAGGGTGTTTGCGAATATGTCATTTTATAAGAGAGAATAAAGATGCCAACGTATTAAAAGAAGAAAACAAGGTGTTACCAAAACATTCATGGCACCAGCTTTGTGGTGATGAGGATGCTGTGGTCTCTTCTCTCTTGATACGTAGATTAAGTGGGGCAATCCACCAGATTGGCCTTCCTTGTTCTCCCAAATAATAACCTGGTCCTCATGAACCATAATTTAATTAATCAATGGCAGAGAACTAACATCGATTCACGCACGCATGCCATTAAATTTACTCCCAAGTACGGACCGTTCTGAACCATAACTTAATTGATCATCTGATAGAGAACACTATTTGATTTTGTTTTATTCGAGAATGTGCCATTGTCCTTCATTTGTCATTGAGAACAAATAACAGGAAATTTGTGTTATGCCATATGTATGACTCAGGCCCCCCACTAATAGCATGTTCCTTTTCAAGAATTGTCTGTCACATATGAGCATCATCAGACAATCGAAACAGCTCGACAATGATATACTAGAAGGTTAAGATACCTTAATTATGGCTTGGTGATTTCTCCGCTCTGCATTCCTGAAAGCTGCAAACTCTCCCTCAAGCTTAATCTGCTCTGGTTTCCTGCTCACATCTTCAATTTTACGGCTTAGTTTTTCATACTCTTCCTACAAAACCCGACACACAAAGTCACTATTATCATTTTTCTGACAATTGACCACGAAATAACCATTTCAACACTTTACCTTCATCAGTAGGGAGTCTTGTGTGAATTCTTGGGAATGTCGTCTTTGGGCACCGTTAGGCTCAGCAGAAAAGAACCTATGAGGAGCTCTGTGTTGGACGTTGTATTTCTTACAGAAAGGTACCCACAGCTTAGCAAATCGAGAGGCTTCGACGAGGGCATAGAAGTTAACAGGGGAACACCCATCATCGGAAACGTAACAAGCTAGCTTGTGAGGTGGGTAATCCAGAGCTAACAGAGATAGCACAGTGTTCACGGTGATGATGGGTGGTTCCAGCACTGGGTCCGCCGTCGTCACCAGCAGGTCCACCGCCGGCAGCTCGACCTTTGGTACCCTATTCAAAAGAGTAGAACTTGACAAATAAGGAAATAAGAATCAGTTCAGTGAAGTAAGTGGGGTCATTTGTACAGCTACCGTTGAGAGAGAGAATGGAGGAAGGTGTCGATGCGTGCAGCTGCCCATTTGGTGCTGAGGATAATAAACCAGTTGAAGGCAAACCATGATTCGCATAAGAAGGCGAGAAAGCGGGGGACAGTGAAGTGGGTGGAGAGGGTGATAAGCCTGTGACCAAGAAGCGAGAGAAGGAGAAAGAAGATGAAGCTGTCCATAACTCTCTGAAACCTGCGTTTCAGCCAAATTTTTTCATACAGTTGGACGTCCTCCATTGAATCTTTTGCTGCAATGGTTTTGCACGTTCACCAAATCCTGCAATTGCTAGATTCCCACGGGTTTGGGAGTTTTTTTTTTTTTTTTGACCGGACGGGTTTGGGAGTTCTCGAAATGCGTTTATGGACACAGACGAATCACTGTCGTACTATTTGCCTAACGTCAAGTTGGGTGATGGAAGACGTCTCAGCATCTAACTTCATTCATTACAGCATTTAACTTCATTCATTATAAGGTTATAAAAATCTTCTTATTTTAGATGCAACACTAGAATATGGAGAAATTCTTAGATACTCTGAGAGTACCACCTCACTTGAACACTGTCCAATTAAATCGCACCAAATCAGTGGATGGCAGGCCCACATGTCAGTCTACATGGCACATTTTCAATAGGAAAAATTTTATTAAAAAAATTCTGTTAAAATTGTTTTCTCTCTCCCATTTTTCAACACCCCTCTCTTCAATTTTCTCTCTCTTCTACGTCTTCTCTTTCCCATTTTTCTGAACTCTCTTTACTCCTCCTTTTCCTCTTCTTCATTATCCTTCGCCAGTTTTTCTCTTCTCACCCTCTCAAATTTTCTCTCTCTTCTGCGTCTTCCTTTCCCCATCTTTCATGACGGTCCTTTCTCTCTTTTTTTTTTTTCTACTTCTTCTTTCCCATTATCCTTACCAGTTTCCCTCTCTCTCTCGTTACTCTTCGTCCTTCCTCTGGCCATTTTTTCCAAAGATGAAGAATTGCATTACAGCATACCAAAATCCTAAAGCATAATGGGGGTAAAGTGAGAAGTAACGTTTTTACTGAAAAATAAGAAGCTGGGTGCTGGCATCTTGCATTTCCTCAAAATTTTTAAAATCCATCTTGCCCCATTTTGTTTTGTTACTACTTAGTTTGTTGAAGGATGAAAGATGAATGAAGGAGCTGGAGTGCCGGGGAACAAACATAGCTCTCAAAATCTTAAAATTCATCGAGTGTTCATAGATGAGATCTTGTTCGGGTGACACTCTTCAAAGAGCTTGAGCACAAGCTAACCTTGGCTAACAAAATAACGGCGTAGGCGGAGGGCATTGTGGAGGCTGAGGTGTGGTGAAATTGGGGAGGATGCAATATGAATGGGAGAAATCGAAAAAAAGGTTTTACAAAAAAAAAGAAGAAAAGAAAGAACAAATGGATTGGTAGGATAAGCATGATGAAAGGAGGAGAGAAAAGTTGGCAAAGAATAATGAAAAAGAAGAGGAAAAGCAGAAGTAAAGAGAGTCCGGAAAAATGGGGAAGGGAAGACGCAGAAGAGAGAGAAAATAGAAGAGAGGGGTGTTGAAAAATGAGAGAGAGAACAATTTTAACAGAATTTTTTTAATAAAATTTTTCCTATTGAAAATGTGCCATGTAGACTGACATGTGGGCCTGCCATCCACTGATTTGGTGCGATTTAATTGGACAGTGTTCAAGTGAGGTGGTACTCCCAGAGTACCTAAGAATTTCTCCTAGAATATGAGCTTTGTTTTGTACAGCATTTTTAGTATAATACAATGATTTTTTTTATAGATTTTATATTATATATAAATTTTTTTTGGTTTCATGTACAACATGTGAGCTAGGCAGATGCATGTGATTGGATCCTGTTTTGGTGTGTAGAGCAATTTGAATTTGGACCATACAAATTTAATATTTTTAATTAATTATTTTTAAATAAAAATATTTTTAAAAAATACTAATTAAGAGATTATCTTTTAGATTTTATACTCATTAAAATAGTTCTTAAAAAAAAAAAAGGTACAGATCTGATAAGTCCCATGTGGTTTTAGGGCGCAGCCTCTCTCCTCTGCCCCTTTGCTACCCCATTCCTCTTATTAAAATGTTACACCTGTACCTCAAGGCAAAAGGCAAGAGAACAAAATAGGGGGGAAAAAATGAAAAAGGGGCATTCCAATTTGCTAATTTTGATTTTTTTTCTCAATTAAAAGTAGTAGTTCAAAATAATTATGCCTAATGTGAATACTGATTATAAGGTACTACCCCTGATCCCATTATACTACCTTATACAAACTATGGTTCTAAATATAAGAAATTACTTATCCATAATGATTAAAATTGTATCACTGCCTTATATTGGCGAGTCACATACTAAATAAATTCATAATGATTAAAATTGTATCACACTGCACTGTCTTATACTAGCTTCGGTTTAAATATAAGAAATTATATCATAAATTAGATTTTAAATTTAGGACTCAGAATATTATTATTGCCTTGTGTGTGGGATCCAAAACTGACGTGAGGTGAACAGGAGGGGTCACCAAAAAAGCACAATTCCAAATAGTCCTTTCAGAAAAGGCCAATTAAAAGCTTGTCAGTGGACCAAGACATTAATTGGTGGTCACCATGCTAATTCTGGAACAATGCACAAAGAGAAAAGCCAGAACTGCTGACTTGTAAATTGTCGACATGGGAATCCCATAGTGTGCTCTATCAAACAGCCCTTTCAAGAAGGGCCACAAGCAAACCACCAAGTACACACTGCACAATACCTCCCCAACCCCACTCCCATTCCCCCTCTTCTCTGGTGGAGGATCCGACCTCAGTAATTTTGTCACCAAAGCAGTGAGCTGAACCAGTAACATGGTGGTTCCTGGCACGAACACTGCAGACTCGTCAAAGCTGAACCTTCCTGCGTCTGTATCACTATCATCAGAACCAGAAGTTGGTGACTCTTTCTGTGTGACATCAAACACCGTGTTAGAACCCCCCAACATCTCAATTATGGCACTTAGAGAACCCAAAAACCAAGCATTCATGGCCATTATTCTTCTCATTCTGTGACTATTCCACCACGTTCGGACTGATAACCCGATTGCCAAGTATTCTATTAGACTATATATACTGTATATCACAAAAACTGAAACAGAAACCCAAAGCCACGGTTCCTGAAAATTCCAAATATGAATCTAAATCAGTTATTCCTTAAAAATGAGATATACAATAATGTTTGGCTGTTAGAGTTGAAAAGCTGACCTTGGGTAAGAAAGTGGAGTTGGTTATGAGGCAATACGCAGGCAGAGCAGCATAGCATATTTCAGGGAAAGCGTGGAGGCCCATGTTGAGGATCCATAAATAGGCCGAGCACTGCCTGAACCGGAGCTTACCAAAGAGGAGACCCAAATAGGGACTTTGGGGGCCCAGCAAGACTCTAAGCAGGCCTGAAGCCCATCTCTTTTGTTGGACCATGGAAGAAATGGAATCTCTAGGGGCACAACCTGTGAAAGGAATAGCCTCAGGTGTGCAGCACTCTGACCTCCAACCCCTTCTATGGATGCTCAATCCGGTTTGTTGATCCTCTGCTGATGACCCATATAACCACCCCACCTAAACTTCCAAATAATTCAATCAAGGCAGAATATATTACTATATATGATTCCTCTAGAATGGATGTTGAAAGCTACTTATGTAGCAATTTGTTATGAAGTCAATTAGGCATATTTATAATATGCTTTAATTGATGAATTTAATTCTAACCTGTTTACCCCAAGCAGTGCCATATTCATATTCACAACTTGAAACTTGGATTGCAGCCTCCAGAGACGTGGAAGGGGTAATAACATTACTACTACCAGAATACGTGCTGCCTTCCCAAGCTTGGGCTGCTAATTTAACAAATTCCTTCGAACTTCCGAATTTCTGTTCCAGTTCCTTGTCTGACAATTTTTCTGCAAAAAAAAAAAAGATGCAAAACAATGGCATTTTAATGTTTCTTTGTTAGACGCTGGTAGGAATTACGGCGACTACTATGATGAATATATGGATCTGTGTACAAATTATATGAAAACTATAGTTCAAATGACGACCTTGATTTTCAAGTTGGATGTCATCAGGGTGACGGACGTAAATAACTTTTCTTCTATGGAAGCAATTGGTTCCACAGTAAAAGGGTCCTTGAAGCCCTGCTATACCAACTACAATGTACTGCACTTCAAAGACAAGAAGACAGAAAAATTACTGTTTAATTCATCCGTGCTACTTGGTTCTAAATGTAGACAGAACTTATGCTTCTTCTTCTTTACACACCATAAAAACAGCCACGAACTGGTTTCCGAAGGGATCATCTTTTAAGCCGTCGTGGAACTGCTGAAAACATTGAACAAAGGCAACTTCTTTATGGGCCTTTGGATCCAGAAGAATACACATGGCGTGCTGAACAATCTTTGGATTGTTCACCATCATGTCACAGTCTAAATTCAGCATGAAGGGAGCGTTGCTCATCAATCCTGACACTCTGGTCTGCACATGATAATCATCATATTACACCTTTTCATGGTAGGAGAAATACAAATTTATTTGAGGTTGTTTATGGATATGTAATTTTATAAGACAGAATAAAAATGCCAACGTATTAAAAGAAAAGAAAAAGGTATTACCAAAACATTCATCGCACCAGCTTTGTGGTGATGATGGTGCTGTGATCTCTTCTCTCTTGATACGTAGATTAGATTGGGCAATCCATCAGATTGGCCTTCCTTGTTCTCCCAAATAATAACCTGGTACTCATGAAAAACAAGTTCCCGTTGTGAACTAAAATTGGTTCGCATATGCATGCCATATATGAAACCTGCTCGGGTACGAACCATTCCAGGGCTCAGTATATTAAAATAAGTTAGTCTTTGAGGAAAACACTATTTGATTTAGTTTTATCTAATAACGTTTCCTTCATTTGTCATTGTGAACACATAACTATACCAACCTCATAAATGACGCTTACATATAACACTAAATTTGTGTGATGCGAAATGTTGGAAGCAGCCCCCATTAATATCATGTTCCTTATCAAGAATCGTCAGTCACACATGAGCATCACCAAACAACCAGAAGATAACAGCAGTCAGAGTTGATAATACAGGAGCTCTTCTGAAACTCATTCACGAGGAATTCATTGGTGATTTCCAGATCATTGACACTTGCCTCTTTTAGAGGATCCTGTGCATCAGAAATAGAATCTGACCACGATCCATAAAAGAGTATTTAGTAACAATTTTTTCAGTTATCCTAGATCTGGTATTTAAAGCTGAGAGTCATAACGTGGCTTGTTGTCCCTTGAGGATCATCATCTTCTTGGGATAAAGATTCAGAATCAGTTTTTTCATCTTCAGAAAAAGGAAGAACATATTGTGTTTCTTCATCCTGAGTATCTTGTTCTTCGATGACAAATTCAATACCTTCATTTTCATTGATCATTAAAACAATCTGCAAGTATTAGAAAAAGGTTAGTCATTGACTATAAACCTCTTAATATTTTCCTCTAAGATGACAAATTCTTTTTACCAAAGTCCAGTTCACTTATAGTCCATCTTAGACATGCAAAAATCTTTTCCAATTTGGTTCTTAAAGTTGGTTTTTGGCAATTGGGTATCCACCCAGAAGATCGACCCACAGAGCATTACTATAGGAAGTATATGTAGTATCAACTAGAATAACTTTAGCAGTGGCTAGAATTCCTTTTCTCCCATAGAGTGTAAGAATAAGGTGTACAACACCTATATGGAAATGGATATAACCTTGAGTTATCCATTTATTAATCAAAGGTTGAAGTATGTCAATAGTGACATAATGTTCAGAGAAAGAGGCAGGAAGACCACAGTTTTGGGGAGCTGTCTTAATTGAAGAAATAAATGGAAAGAGATTCTACTATGGACATGCAAGCAGACAATTCAAGGAGTCAGAAAAGCATTATCATGCTACCTGCAAGGAGATCCTTGCTAACCAGATCCTACTGTTGAAGATTCTTTTGATGGATAACCATTTGTCCCTCATACGTCTAAGCCTAGAAGGACAGACTACAAACCTACTACAAGTCCATGGTTCACTTTTGATGACCTTCCTCTAGAAAAATTGAGAGACAGATTTCATGAATTTGGCGCATAGATTGACTTGCAGCTTGCCAGGCATGATACAAATCTTGAGAGTCATCACTGACATTAGTCCGAAGGATTCGTAGTCTTTTGTCAGGGATCTTTAAAGAAGGTGGTTGCTGTGCAATTCTTTTGAGAGTTTTGACAGCTGAGATTTGCTCTGTCCCTACGCGGGAGGATTCTTTTTGAGAAGTTTGGATAGCTGACTGGTGTGATTAGACACATGAGGAATAAAATCTCTAAGATAATTAATAATCCCTAAAAATTATTGAATAGCCCTTGCCATCGTACTAATCGTGTCAGTAGAAACATTAGAAGTCTGATCTCCACTCAAAGATCCCATGTCAAAGAAATTGTTCGATCCACTAGTTTAGAAAACTGTGGTCTTTCTGCCTCTTCCTCTGAACAATATATCACTATTGATATACCTCAACCTTTGATTAATGAATGGATAGCTTAAGGTTATACCAGGGGCAATAAAATACACTTAAAAATTAAAACAGTCACAACCAAAAGAAAGGACAAATTTTCAGAAAATTTCCGTCATCAAAATCTCATTTCATAAATTGAATAAAATGACCATATTGCCTCTCTTTGAGGGCCAAAAAAAAAAGCCTCGCCCATCAGCAGGGGCCGCTACCAATGGCAGCTAGGCAATTTGCGATAGGGGTCAAGAAATGTAGGATTTGATCCCCTCATTTTAGTTTCTAAAAAATATAACTTCACCAAAATATATACTCCTCCGATCCTAAATATAAAACTCTTATACCTTTATACTATAAGGGTGACCGGAGGAGTATAAAACTATTAAGCCGCTAAAATTTTTCAATAAAATAGCACAAAATAGTATGAAAGATAATTGCAAACTTTGACCATAACCATAGGTTAGGTATGAAGCACAATATGATAGCTACTGAGCATAGCATATTAAGTTATTAACAATTATTAATTACTATAATTATAACAGTTAGTTGATTAATTTGAAAAAATTAAGAAAATAAGTTTAAGTTAGTTATTTGTAATAAATAGGTGTTCTCTTTCCTCAAATATCCTTGCTAATCCAGTATATTGGTTAGAACTGTCATTATTAGAAGGACTACCTTAGAAAAAATGTATAAATATTAGAGATAAAGTAGATTAAGATCTTATATTTCTGACCAAAATAATTGTTAAAGGAAAATTTTTGCCAATAAGACATTTTCAATAAAATTTATTAAAAAGACATTTTTAAAAAAAGAACACAAATTTTTTATAAATAACTAATTTAAATAATTTTTTAGATTCTGATAAACTTGTAATAAAATTTTAAACCTATTGGTAAAAAGAGCAACTAATGGGGGGGTGTGATATGGTCAATAGCTATTGAATTGAAAAATATCTTATTGACAAAAATTTTCCTTTAATATATATGTCATAATAAGGATAGTTCAAGAAAAAAATTATAAACTTGAAAGAAAAAGTATGTTAAAATTTTATGCCTAGTACTAGAGGGAATACGTATGAATATCATGGGATCACGGGGCAACAGTGCCACTTTCTAGCAAAAAAGAAGAAGCAAATCTGAATATTTTAAATTTTCCTTGTCAGTGCTTCTTACCATATCATTATATATATATATATATATATATATATATTTCCTTGTTGTGTGAAAACGGTGTGATCATTTTATTAACTAGTCATTCTATCTAACATATGCAACAAGTGTGCTTAGTCTTCGATCAGCAATAAGCATTTCCATGTAAATGTTGTGCGATCAATAGACTTAGGATTACATTATATATGTTCCGGGATTGGATCCAAGAACCGACTCTTTGTCTGTCATTATTACGAAGCTCATCAAATTTACGTCATATATACATATGACACAAATTTATTAGTTGAATTAGGAGTATTTACTATTTACATAAATACAAATTTATAACTAACGAAATATTTAATACTGTTGGCTAAAGTATACATTTAATCCTTTAACTTTGTACAATGTTTCAATTTGATTCCCTAACTTTGAAAAATATGCATTTAGTCTTTTAATCTTAAAATCATTAGGTTTTAATGATGATTTTTTGTAACAATCATGGATGTTTTGAAAATTAAACTTAATATGTTAGCATTTAAGAATATTTTATCAACATTTAAGATTTTAATGTCATCATTTTTTGAAAAAAAATTTCAGAGTTAAAAAACTAAAAGTGTATTTTTTAAACTTAAGGGATAAAATTAAAACCTTATACAAAGTTAAAAAACTAAATATGTACTTTAGCCAATACTGCTTACCAATCAAACAACACAACACAAGTTCAATGTAACCATAAGTGTTTACTGCCAATCCCCCCCCCCCTAATAACTCACGTATCCATTGCATTATTTCCGTTTAAAGTTGCAACTTCACACTTAAGACTGGGCTGCAAGTGCCGACTCATTATTAATCATTTTTATAAATAAAAGATTTGTGAATTCGGTCCATACCTATAATTATCTCTGACTTATAACTAGTTCATTAACAAATGTTAAGTTATGAAAATTATTAAATAAGTTATGAAAATTATTAAATAATGCTCCTCATTAAAAATATGTATATTCTCCATTATTTCATTGTAAATTGAAGAGAAGGACTTTTTTTTAATGATGTAATTATTATTTGAAAAATTCTTGCAAAATAACTTATACTTTAAATTATAGAAAAATTTTCTGAAAAATGACTGACAAAAAAAATGAAAGGGATTGAATCAGTAATTAATTTTGATAAATTGATTCAGACAAGAAAACTAATAAATTAATTTCTAGCCTGATTATTCAATTAAAAATCAGCTGATTCAATATATTAAATTTAAAGTTATCAAAATTAATTTGATTTTTCAAAATCATAAATTCTTATTGTTTTCAGGATCATTGTTAATCCGAATTCCGAACGAATCCTTGGTTAAGACATTTTCTATTTAAACGACTTGCCATTTCCATCTCTTCATATCTTTTGGGGTTATGCCTAGAAGCTCCCACCCCCAGTGGCTGGCCATCGATTGCCCCCATTCAAAATCCTGCACCCTGTGATTCTGTCCCCCACCGTATCAATCTTCATTACCAAGCACACTAATTAAGATCCATAATGATTAAAATTCTATTACGTAGCATTGCCAAGCAGATGAGATCCAAAATCGAATCAAAAGGAGCTTTAGTTTTTAGAAGTAAAATATAATATGCTGCTAAAAAAATGAAAGTGCAGACATGAGAGAGGAGATTGAGATGAATAAGAGGGATCACCAACACATAAAGTAGTGATGATAGAAGTACAAAGCACCACAAAGAACACGGCCCGAGTTCCATATTTTCTCCTTTCAGAAAAGGCCAGTAACACACCACCCTGTACGAACGACAAAACAACGCTCTCCATTTCCAATTCTCTCTCTTCACTGCTTCCAATGACCTCCAAAATTTCACAAACAGACCTGTGAGTTGAACCTCAAGAAGGAAGTATAACATAAACAAGAGATTGTCAATGGACCAACACATTAATTGATGGTGGCAGTGCCACTTATAGAACAGTGCACGAAGAGAAAAGCCAGAATAGCTGACTTAAAGATTGTTGACATGGGAATCCCATATTGTGCTTTACCAAATAGCCCTTTCAAGAAGGGCCACAAGCAAACCACCAAGTACACACTGCACAATACCTCCCCAACCCCACTCCCATTCCCATTCTTCTCTACCGATGGATCCAACCTCAATAATTTCACCGCCAAAGCAGTGAGTTGAACCAGCAACATAGTGGTTCCTGGCACAAACATTGGAGACTCGTCGAAGATGAACCTTCCCGCGTTTGTATCAGAACCAGAACAAGTTCGTGGCTCCTTCTGTGTTATGTCAAACACTGTGTTAGAAGCCCCCAACATCTCAACTATGGCACTTAGAGAACCCACAAACCAAGCAGTCATGGCCATTACTCTTCTCATTCTCTGATTGTTCCACCATGTTCGGACTGATAACCCGATTGCCAAGTATTCTATTAGACTGTAAATATAGTATATCACGAAAACTGAAACAGAAATCCACAACCAAGGTTCCTGAAAATTTAATATGAATCTGCTTAATTATTCCTTGAAATTGAGAAATACTAAAATGTTTGGTAGTTAGTGTTGAAAAGCTGACCTTGGGTAGAAAAGAGGAGTTGGTTATGAGGCAATACGCCGGCAAAGCCGCATAGCAAGTTTCAGGGAAGGCGTGGAGGCCCCAGTGGATAAGATATAAATAGGCCCAGCACTGCCTGAGTTGCAGCTTACCGAAGAGGAGGCCCAAGTAGGGACTTTGGGGGCCCAAAAAGACTCTAAGCAGGCCGGAAGCCCATCTCTTTTGTTGTACCATTGAGGATATGAAATCTCCAGGGGCACAACCTATGAAAGCAATAGGCTCAGGTGTGCAGCACTCTGACCTCCAACCTCTTCTATGGATGCTCAATCCAGTTTGTTGATCCTCTGCCAATGACCCATATAACCATCCCACCTGAACTTCCAAATAATTTAGTCACAATGCAGAGTATGATTCTTCTGAGATGATAATTATGTGATGCTCAGAAGAAAATTTCAACCCTTTTCTGTGTTGAAAGCTTCTTATGTGGCAATTGAAATTAAGTTAATTAGGAGTATTTATAATATGCTTTAATTGATGAAGTTGATACTGACCTGTTTACCCCAAGCAGTACCATATTCATATTCACAACTAGAAACTTGGATTGCAGCCTCTAGAGACGTGGAAGGAGTAATGACATTACTACAACTAGAGTATGTGTTGTCTTCCCAAGCTTGTGCTGCCAATTTAACAAATTCCTTCGAGCTTCCGAACTTCTGTTGCAGTTCCTTGTCTGACAATTTTTCTGCAAAAAAAGATGCAAAACAATGGCATTTTAATGTTTCTTTGTTAGAGGCTGGTAGGAATTACGGCAACTACTATTATGAATATGTAGATCGGTGTACAAATTATGTGAAGATATATCCTATAGTTCAAATGACGACCTTGATTTTCAAGTTGGGTGTCATCAGGGTGACGGCCGTAAATAACTTTTCTTCTATGGAAGCAATTGGTTCCACAGTAAAAGGGTCCTTGAAGCCCTGCTATACCAACTACAATGTACTGCACTTCAAAGACAAGAAGACAGAAAAATTACTGTTTAATTCATCCGTGCTACTTGGTTCTAAATGTAGACAGAACTTATGCTTCTTCTTCTTTACACACCATAAAAACAGCCACGAACTGGTTTCCGAAGGGATCATCTTTTAAGCCGTCGTGGAACTGCTGAAAACATTGAACAAAGGCAACTTCTTTATGGGCCTTTGGATCCAGAAGAATACACATGGCGTGCTGAACAATCTTTGGATTGTTCACCATCATGTCACAGTCTAAATTCAGCATGAAGGGAGCGTTGCTCATCAATCCTGACACTCTGGTCTGCACATGATAATCATCATATTACACCTTTTCATGGTAGGAGAAATACAAATTTATTTGAGGTTGTTTATGGATATGTAATTTTATAAGACAGAATAAAAATGCCAACGTATTAAAAGAAAAGAAAAAGGTATTACCAAAACATTCATCGCACCAGCTTTGTGGTGATGATGGTGCTGTGATCTCTTCTCTCTTGATACGTAGATTAGATTGGGCAATCCATCAGATTGGCCTTCCTTGTTCTCCCAAATAATAACCTGGTACTCATGAAAAACAAGTTCCCGTTGTGAACTAAAATTGGTTCGCATATGCATGCCATATATGAAACCTGCTCGGGTACGAACCATTCCAGGGCTCAGTATATTAAAATAAGTTAGTCTTTGAGGAAAACACTATTTGATTTAGTTTTATCTGATAACGTTTCCTTCATTTGTCATTGTGAACACATAACTATACCAACCTCATAAATGACGCTTACATATAACACTAAATTTGTGTGATGCGAAATGTTGGACCCAGGCCCCCATTAATATTATGTTCCTTATCAAGAATCGTCAGTCACACATGAGCATCACCAAACAACCGAAACGGCTCGACAATGATATACTAGAAGTTCTAGATACCTTAATTATGGCTTCGTGATTTCTCCGCTCTGCATTCCTGAAAGCTACAAACTCTCCCTCAAGCTTAATTTGCTCTGGTTTCCCGCTCACATCTTCAATTTTGCGGCTTAGTTTTTCATACTCTTCCTGCAAAACCCAGCAAACAAAATCATTATTCATCATTTTTCTAACACTTGACCACGAAATAACCATTTCAGCACTTTACCCTCATCCGTAGGGAATCTTGTGTGAATTCTTGTGAGTGTCGTCTTTGGGCACCAGTGGGCTCATCAGAAAAGAACATAAGAGGAGCTCTGAGTTGGACGTTGTGTTTCTTACAGAAAGGCACCCAGAGCTTAGCAAATCGAGAGGCTTCGATCAGTGCATAGAGTGTAACAGGGGAACACCCATCATCGGACACATAACAAGCGAGCTTGTGAGGTGGGTAATCCAGTGCTAACAGAGACAGCACAGTGTTCACGGTGATGATGGGTGGTTCCAGCACTGGGTCCGCCGTTGTCACCAGCAGGTCCACCGCCGGAAGATCTACTACCCTGTTCTTGAAAAAACACAGACTCATGATAAAACAGCGATCACTTATTCATATACAGAACGTGCAATAAGTTGTAAGTGGAGTAGTGTACCGTCGAGTGAGAGAATCGAGGTTGGTGATGACGCGGGCAGGGGTCCACTTGGTGCTGAGAATAATAAACCAAGTGTAGGTGAACCATGATTCGCATAAGAAGGCAAGAAAGCAAGGAAAATTGAAGTGGTAGGTGAGGGAGATGATTCTGTGGCCAAGAAGCAAGAGAAGGAGGAGTAAGATGAAGCTATCCATTATCCTTTGAAAAGTTCGTTTCACCCCAATCTTTTCATAAAGGCGGTCCTCCATTGAATCTTTCAACGTTTTGCACCGATCTACCATTTGTTACAGCCAAAACTGCAACGTCTTGTTTATATATTGCAGGCAAGGCGGTGTCTGCTTGACAAGATAGAAATTTCTGTGGTCCAGTCGCCTACGTTATCCATTATGGGTGAAATGAGTTTTAGAAACTTGTATTTTGTTTCTTTTTTTTTTACCTTTATATTTTGTTCTCTTGAATTCATATAATCTCGGGTTTATAACAGTAATCTTATAACATCGTGTATGACTCTACACACGCGCGCGCGCACAGCCTACCAAGGCAGGACACGGTCCCTTAGCTTTGGAGGTTCTTGTGCGGTTTTTGTCCTTTACTGCCTATTTTCTACAGCCTTCAAATCAGAATCTCAATCATTGAAGCCGTCGTCATAATTGTCTTGAGGCTGCAATGGCCCGTGAAAGATGGACACCAAGGAAATTGCATCGTATTAGGATTTCGCTCAGGTACCGAGACACCTTTGCTACGCCACTGACATTCGTTTGGATTCTAGTGTCTTTGCGACAATTTCATTTTGGTTTTATTTTCTCACTGGCCAATGGGCATTATTTTCCACATCGTATGTTTGACTGCATATAGCCATACATTGAATTAATACCATTACCATGTCCCGAATATTCTCCAACTTTGCCCCACGCATTATTTTTCTTTTTCTCGGTGAGCTCCTACTCGCCTGCTATCGTCCTCAGTCCCCCCCCCCAATGTACGGTCCACACAGGTAACCTCCCTCTGATCATTGAAGGAATTAACAGAGAAAAAATCATAACAATATTACACAAGGGGGAAAAAAACCAACAAATTATTTTGCAAAGACAAAGTAATTACAAGATACGCTTACAGACAGATAACAAGGTTTCCGCCTCGAAGGAAACAGTTAAAGATAAAAAATTACACACAACTAGAAGGACAAAAATATTAGAAAATTCAAGACCAGAGAAGCATCATGAACCCTTAATGGTACCTTCTACAAAGGAGCACGAAAACGAAGGACAATCCTGCTGACTTGAACACAGTGGACAAGGGAATCCCATATTTTCCTTTGTCAAATAGCCCTTTTAAAAATGGCCGATAACACAGTATGATATATGACACGCAGAAGAGCTCGCCTACGCCAGAGCCATCCCCACCCTGCGCTGCTGGTTGCAATCTTGACAGCTTTGTGGCCAAAGCTATTAGTTGCAGAAGCAAAACAGTGGTGCCTGGTATGAACATTGGAGAAGTATTGAACGTGAATCTACCGGCATCTTCATCATCACTAGAACTGGATTGGTCTTTCTGTGTCACTTCAAATACTGTGTCAGATGTTCCCAGGAGCTTCAGTATCACGCTCAAAACAGAAAAAGGCCAAGCAGTCATGGCTACTATTCTCGACATTCTTTGGTTGTTCCACCATGCTCTCAGTGACAGTCCAGTCGCAATGTACTCCGATAAAGTGTGTATGTTGTAAACAACAAACAGCGCAACATGAATCCAGATGCCTTGTCCCTAATAGTCATTTGAACAAATTAACAAAAAACATAAATTCATTTGAAGTGTAAGCTTCGCAGAAGTACGATAATAGGTCGGGCTCATTCATGTGTTCTCACCCTGGGGAAGAAAGTCGAGTTGGTAATGATGCAATAAACAGGAAGAATAGCATAGCACAATTCAGGAACACTGCGAGCAGCCCAGGTAGTGATCCACAAATACGCCATGGCCTCTCTAAACTGTAGCTTGCCAAAAATTATGCCCAGAATTGGACAGTGCTTAGTGAAAAGGATTTCAAGGAGGCCTATGCCCCATCTTTTTTGTTGTGTCAGTGAACCAGGCCCACATTCTGGGGCACACCCCGAAAATGCAGTTGGGTCTGGCGTACACATTTCTGATCTCCAACCCTTGGTATGGATTGTCAGTCCAGTAAGCACATCTTCGGTCATTGATCCATACATCCAACCCACCTGCAAATGTTCAGATATGTTTCCACAATCGATGTGAAGGACAAGATATAACACTTTGTTAGATTGAACGTTTATAATTTTAGAAGGATACGTTAAGAGGAAAGTTAGACTTCAGTTAAGGGACTGACTCATGTATTTAGTTGCGTAAAAGTTTATTATGTATTTAGGGCCTGTTTGGGTATCCTAAAACCGTGGTTTCAGAAGCACTTTTTCGCAAAACGAGATAATCTCCTCCACATATTTACTTCGTTCATGTTGCAGACCTGTTTACCCCAGCCACTGCCATATTCATATCCACAAGAAGCGACCTGGTGGGCTTCCTCAAGAGATTTTGAAACATTTAGATTAGGAGAATATGTTTTGTCTTTGAAAGTGAGAGCAACTGATTTCACCAACTCCTTTGAACCTCCAAATATTTGAGCCAACTCCTCATCTGAAGTGTTTCCTGCAAACGGCCATTGTAGAAAATGAATCTTTCCTTAGCTTTTTAGGGATGCTTAAAAAGTTGTATTTATTGTTAGATACGTACAACATAACATGGCTTATAAACTTCTCTAGAACCATCAATCGATCATTTATATTACCCTGCTATATATGTATAATATGTTCTAAATATAATGAAGATATCATCTTCTAATTTAATGAATGTTTCATTAGTACCAGTTTCTACGTCTTCTGGAGAAAACCATATAGTACTTTCCTTCTATGGAAGGCATTTGTTCCCGCATAGAAAGATCCTTGGATTCCTCCCAATCCACCCCCCATGTACTGTATAAGTTAAAAAGTAGAAAACGAGAAAACATGTAAATTATAAGAGAGATAGATAGTAATTAAGAAAGTCCGAAGACTATAATTTTGGTGGGCAGATTTGATATTTGATTGAAGTTGGACGCACCTTGAACAAAACCACCATCTGGTTTCCAAAAGGGTCGTCCTTTAACGCACCACAGAAATGCTGGGGACATTGAACAAAAGCAACTTCCTTTTGGCTCTTGGGATCCAACAGAATGCACATGGCATGGAGAGCAATCATTGGATTGTTCACAGACATGTCGCAATCAAGGTTCAAAGTGTAGGGAGCATTGGTCATCAAACCAGAGACTCTCGCCTGTATCCATCACAAAACCGCATCAATGAACGTGTAATGTGTTATTAGTGAATAAATCGAAGATAACGGAGAGGACAATGGCAATTTAATTACCAGTGTATTCATAGCACCCGCTTTGTAGTGATGAGGATACTTTGGGCGCTTCTCTCTCGATATGTATATCAAGTGTGGCAACCCATCTGAAGTTATTTTCTTGTTCTCCCATATAACCTACAAATTGAAAAGGAGTAAGTGTGTGTTTTGGATTAGCATGGGTTATTATTTAACTTTTGTGGAACGCGATTATTATGATTTATTAAAAGCAAAATATAGATGTTTTCGCAAACACAAAGCTCAAGTACCTACCTTGATTATGGCTGGATGATTTCTCCTCTCTGTATTCGAGAAATCTGCCAAGTCTCCGTCAAGCTGAGCCGGGCCTTGTTCGATTCGGCGCCTAAGATCCTCATACTCATCCTGCTCCGCTCCCCACAAACAAACAAAATATTATCGTAGGCGTATTTGTACACATTTACCACTGAAATAGTAGCGACAGTATAGATCATTCTAAATTTTTCATTAAATACATTTTCTCTATATTACCCACAATTCTTTGATAAATATGTCATGGTGTATTCAGTCCAAAAAAAATGTCATGATGTTTATTTATCCTATTATAAAATTTACATATATTGATATTAAATTAATCATATTGAGGTCGATATTTTTTTGTCAAAAAATAACGCCCATTATTTTTATTATTTATTTATTTCCACCTCTTTCCTTGTCCTCTTACACTATTTCTTATCCCACCCCACCCCCTCAGCTCTGGCTATGGCCAAGGTTCCGATGCGATAATCTCGATTATCAGATATTGAACTTATACGGTGCTTGGTGCATATCATGGAGAGACAGATTGGAGCCGACATTATTTTAACAAGTACTACCTTTTTTTTATAACATAAGAAATATGAAACTAATTTGTAAATATTAAGAAAATTTATTGAGTTAGTTATTCTAATAAATAGTTGTTATTTTTTATAAAATATTCTTTTTAATTATATTAAATAGATAAATATCAGAGACAAAATAAATTAAAATTGAATCTTAAATTACACGTATGCCAAGCACGGGAGCCACTAGTGATATATTATAACGTTCCACTTTATGAGCTCTTAACCCTTTCGTTCTTAAGCCACTAACCTTCATTCTCAACCATTCTTGTTTGAACTCCGGTGATTCTGCGCCAGTGAGTGTTTTGTAGTGGGAGAAGTATCTCAAAGGAGCTCTTAGTTGAACATGGTGCTTTTTACAGAAAGGTACCCAAAGCTGGGCAAATTTGCAGGCTTCAACGAGGGCGTGGAAGGTGAGAGGGGAACACCCGTCATCAGAAACATAGCAAGCTAGCTTATGAGATGGATAATCCAGGGCTAGCAGAGACAACACAGTGTTGACGGTTATGATGGGTGGTTCAAGCACCGGGTCCGCCGTCGTCACGAACATGTCCACCGCCGGAAGTTCCATTTCCGACACCCTATTCACATAACCCAGCCACAAAAGCCACGATAATCAAAACCCCACATATTACAAGCTTATGTATGTGAAATGGCTAACAATATGCATAAGCAGATATACCGTTGGAGGAGGCGGCCTGGGCAGGTTGTGACAAGGGCCGGAGTCCATCTGGTGCATAAGCAGAGAAACCAAGTGAAAGTGAAGCATGATTCGCAGAGGAACGCGAGGAAGCAGGGGAAAGTGAAGAAGTGGATGATGGAGACGAGTCTGTAAGTGAGGACCAGTAGGAGCAGCAGAAGAATCAGCATATCTGTTACCTTTTTGGTGAAACCAGTGTTAACCCAACATTTTTGGTAAAAGGAAAAGAGGGCTCTAGGCTCGCCATCTGAAGGGACAAGAATGAGATCGTTTCGTTTCGTTTCGTTTCGGTTGGCTGATTTTCCTGGCTGGGTTTTCATCTATTTAAAAGGGAAGATGTGAAAGAGAAAGGCATGTTGCAAGTCCAAAATAGCCTCCTTTTTTTCTGGGCCAAGCAAAATAGCCGTGCTGAGTGTTGACGGGCCTTTTTTTCATCACGCCATTTGCAATTCTAAAAGGAAAAACCATATCAGGGGTACTTGTATTTTTTATAAATTTTTAATTTGGTATCTATATATTTTTTATTCTTAAATAAATCTTTAATTTTGCTCAATTAACATCATTAATCCTTATATAGAGACTAAAAATACCAATAGAACAAAGTTATAAGAGCTAATGTTGCTAAAAAAAATTAAATGTTTAATCAAGAGGAAAAAACACATAGGTACCAAATTAAAAATTGAGAAAAAGTAGAGGTACTTATGATATGGTTTTCCCGTTTTAAAAATTTGCTAACAAAAAATAAATGACTCATCAAGCGAAAAACATTTTTATTTAATTATTGATAATATCAGAAGAACTACGAATATTATTTTGTACTGCATTCTGATGATAGCCGAAAGGTAAAAAGAATATATTCCTCTCTCCTTAATATATGACCTAATTATTAAGTTGATTTTAGTTATAAATATAAGAGATATTTTTTATATTTATCAATTTTTTTAAGTTACCTTGTGGATACTCTCTCAACTATAATCAAGTAGAAGAGTGAGGAAAGATATTAAGAAAGATGATTATAGTATTTTAAAAAAAACATATCATATTTTTTATAATTAATTAACTTACCTAATTTTTTTAATCTAATCAAATTAATCTTGTCCGTTCTTGTTTTCCAAAGGTGAAGGCTTGATAATGGCCTTGTAACCAGTGATATTCTTCTCGCAGTAGTGTTGTTATTGGCGGCGTGGGAATCTCTCGCGTGAGTTAAAATCCCATAAAAAAACAAAAAAAAAATACGCGCATACATTTTAATTATAAAATCTTATTTATAAACTATAAATTTTATTTATAAAAAATAAGATTTTATAATTAAAACTGGATATTAGTATTTAATTCTCAGATTCTTACATCATGCAGAAGAGATAGTTAAAACCCTGATCAGCAATAGGGGGAAAAAATCAGCCAAAAAAATGCTGAAGATTCAATAAGCGTCTCCTACCTGTATGGTAGAAACGTAGATTAGACATGAAGGGTGGACAGTTTCTTATTTTAAAAATCATATAATAAATTGATAAATATTTGTTACTTACTTTAATTATAAATTTGTGTTGTGTGAATATTAAATGTTTACTAGTTAATTTATAAATTTGGTTATAATTCTCCCACTTAATAAATAATCTAGCATGCGCGCGAGACCGGGAATGCAGTGGAGTGAAACCCCAGCGAGGAATGTTCACTGTTGTAGCTGCTTCCAGAGTCCTCAGAGCAGTCCCTCGCCAGTCTCCCGCTCCATTCCCCGTTTCCCGCTCCATTCCCCTCTTCGTTTCCCGCTTCTCAGTCCGTTCCATGGCTGATTCTGCGTCTTCCCCTTTCAAGAAAATTCAGATTCAGAGGGACGACACTGTGAGTATCCCTCCTTCTTTTCGTCTTTCTTGCTCTTTCTCTTGTTTGCATCCTGATTTCTTTTTCATTTCTATTAATTTATCGCAGTTTGTGTTTCTCGAGTGTTTCATTCACGACTTTGACTTGTTTACTGTTTTTTCTGGGTAGATTCGGAACTCATCGCCCGACTTATATCGCGGCCAAATTTGTCTTTTCAGTGTTTGGCTTACGCCTATGGATAAATATTTTTTGTCATTTTCTTTTCTCTTTATATTATTGAGTCTGGGTGCTGTTGGGAATTGAGAATTAATCTGATCCATAAAAATTTGGCTTGGTGACTCTAGGCTTTTAGTACTAGGTCGCCGTGCTTTCTTTTAGCGGTCAAAATACATTATTTTGCATGTCGGTGTGCCAAGACGACCCCATCACTAGTATGCGTACATCCATTTGCAACGTTATTCACATTCCGTCTATATGGTTGTCTGTGGACCAACTTCGAATGAGAAAATACTACTACGAAATTGTTCCTTTTGCTCCATTGAACATCGAGGAAGTAGTTTCTAAACCTAGTCAGATGACTGACTGATGCCATTTACCTGGTGTTAAGTGTGTTCTCTGTTTGGAAACGGCTATATTTACCTAAGAGTTTCTGTTTAACGACTCGGGCTGATCAAGTAAGTAACGGAGTAGGAACTGATGGTGATATCTCATATGCTATGCTAATAAGACCCCATGCCCAATTTTTAATTATGCTTTTTAGCTGTAATGCGGTCTGTTGTGCTTTAGATCAAACTCCTTTTTAACCAATGTCATCGTGTCGTACCTAAAGTTTTATTGTGGTATGCTATCACGTTTTGCTATGTTATTTTACATGCAGTAGAACTTCATTTTCTTTTTTTCCTTTCAATGATCAGACATTCGATGCTTATGTTGTTGGCAAAGAAGACGCTCCTGGAATTGTTGTGCTCCAAGAATGGTGGGGTGTGGACTATGAAATTAAGAACCATGCTGTGAAGATTTCTCAGCTTGGTCCTGGATTCAAAGCTCTTATTCCAGAGTAAGATGTTGGTGCTTACTAAAGATTTAAAATTTCATTATGCATCAGTTCATATTATAGGTTGCACTTGGATTGACCTGTGGGGGGTTTTTCCTTCTTTTTCAGTCTTTACAGAGGAAAAGTTGGTCTGGATGTTGCAGAAGCACAGCATTTGATGGATGGTCTTGATTGGCAAGGTGCTGTGAAGGATATCGGTGCTTCAGTCAACTGGCTTAAAGCCAATGGTTCAAGGAAGGTTTGCCACTGTTCATGTTTTGTCCGGATAAAAGCTCATTTATTTAAAAATGTCCTGTCTTGGGCCATCTATGAAACCACGGTTACTGTAAATATAAATTTTTTATCAACCTTTTTATTTTCAGTTCTGAAGAATTTGTCACTTAGTGCTTTTACTGCCGTGTGGATTCCATAGTTTGGGAAGGTTCTTCAGGTTTTCATCCGTCCATGCAGTAGTCATGGCATAAGACTCGAAAGCAGATTATTGTGGGTCTTACTTATGACTTGACTTGTACAGTAGTGAATGGTTAGCTGCTGTGGGCTGTAAGTATTGCTTAAAAAGGGTGAAGTTTCTAAGAATAATGCCTTGTTAATGCTGCAGACTGCAATGTCTTTATCCCAAATCTGTATTTTCCTACATTTAAATCCAACAAGGCAGCAATGCTGAGCCTCTAAACAATTTACGCTTGTGGTCTTCCAAAGCCTCATTCTTTTCTTTGTTAATTTAAAAAATAATTTAGTGATCATAATATCGTATTGATATTGTTATACAGAAATTTACTGGCTTAAATAATTATGGGTAGGGAACAATCTGTCACAAGTCTTAAATCTGACTGTTGACATGCTCATATTTTCAAATACCGAGCAAATCATTAGTTTGTCTTTTTTTCTTAAAGTTATGATTTGATCAGTGCTTTTTACTTTCATTTTATAGTACAAACTTTAAATTAACATACTGGTTATATTGAAGCTAGACCTTTTTTTAAACGAAATGTAAAATCATTGCCACAGGCTGGTGTTACTGGATTTTGCATGGGTGGGGCTCTCTCTATTGCAGGTTCTGTTTTGGTTCCAGAGGTTGATGCTGTTGTAGCTTTCTATGGAGTCCCTTCTTCAGAGCTTGCAGACCCTTCCCAAGCCAAGGTTCCTGTTCAGTCTCACTTTGGGGAGCTGGATAATTTTGTCGGCTTTTCGGATGTCACGGTATGGGATTATCTATGTCCTCTGTTAGATACTATCTCCGGTCCTTATTATAAGATTTTATATTAAGGACCAAAGGTAGTATTGCTTCTGTTTCCGGGAGTATTGTCATCCATTGCTTTAGCTTACCTAGCGCTACTTAGAGATCATTGCATTCGATAAAATATAGGATGGTGTATAATGGGAATGTTCACAATTGAGGGTCAAAGGAATGGAAAACTATTAACTATCCAAGCTACTTATGCTGTCTTCTGTCATCATTTGATGTCTCAGGCTGCCAAGGCCTTAGAGGAGAAACTGAAGGCTTCTGGAGTTCCATACGAGGTACACTTGTATCCTGGCAACGCACATGCATTCATGAACAGGTCTCCAGAAGGGATCCAGAGGAGGAAGAGCATGGGACTGCCTGATGAAGATGAAGCCGCAGTTCAGCTGGCTTGGTCTCGCTTCGAGTCGTGGATGACTCGTTATTTGTCTAACTAAATGACCTGGATATGGCTGCCATGTGCTATATTTTATCTCTTGACACTTTCTATAGTTTGCGTGTTTGTTATCCGTGCGTTGTTTCCCCATGCACGGAAGCGTCTTTGAGAAATTTAGCAGTATTTCTGAGCAGCCTGTGTCTCAGATAATTATGTTGATAGATAGCCTTGGCTAGTGCCTGTGGCGTTGTGCGTAGTTCCTGTTCTCGGCTCTGCATGCCATGGATATTTGTTCAGACTTGCGGAGTGCGGTAATAAATATCCTCAGAGAAGTAAACTTGCATGGACAAAGCCGACCCACTCTGTTGTTTCATTGCATTCACACACGTACATATTTTGTCTGAACTAAGCTCAGTTTATAGATATAAAATAAAAGGAAGTTATTTCTGTAGAATGTTTCTAGAAGTTTACGCGCATCATATAAAATTATTTATGTTTTTCGCTGAACGTACACTGTTCCAAATTGTCGCTGGAGTGTTTGGATTGTCTTAAAAGTACTTTTAAAAAATACTTTTATATAAATGGGGATAATAAAATTATTTTTAAAATTATGATTTGATTTTTACTTTGGGGTATTTGGATAAAACTAAACCATAATTTAAATAATAGTTTCTGAGAAAAAAGTTATTTTTGAGAATGGATCTTGAAAAAATAGATTTTGTGAAAAAGTGATTCTGAAAGTGAGCGTTTAGATAGTTGTTATCAGAAACACTTTTTATATATGTACACTACTAAAAAAAAGTATAAGTTAATACGATAATTACAT